CCCTTTACTTCCCCACCCTTTTCCCCTCCCTCCCCCACCCTTTCCCCTTTACTTCCCCACCCTTTTCCCCTTCCTCCCCCCAGTTTCCAGGACTGCATCCCTCGTTCCTTCCACCACGAGATCCAACACAACAGTTTCCTCACCAAGCTCAGAATCAAGAAGGTTTTCAAGAAGTCTCTCCAACAATTCCAGCTCCCCAGGGTGATCCCAGAGAACTTGACCCCTCAATCCATCATGTACAAATACTTGGCCACCCTGGAACTTCTTGCCCCACGTTTTGGGAAGGAGTTTTTCCCTGTTTTCACCTTGGAAACCTCTTTTGAGGGGGAGAAGGTGCCTTCCTACCTCAACCAGGGACATTCCCAACTGGAGCAGGTGCTGCTGGATCAACCCATCACCCATGAAGTCCTGGTCACTGGAACCACTGGGATCCAGTGGAGACCTGTGCCTGGGGAGGTAGGTCCCATCTGTGTCATTCCCAGGGAATTCCCAGCTCATTCCAGTTCCTTTTCCTCAACTCCTGCTCCTGGGGCTTCTCCAGGCCCTCCCAGTTCCTTCCCAGTTCTTTCCTGGCCTTTTCCAGGCCCTCCCAGTTCCTTCCTGGCCTTCTCCAGGCTCTCCAACGTCCTGCTTTTCCAGGCTCTCCAACCTCCTTCCCAGTTCCTTCCTGGCCTTTTCCAGTCCCTTCAACCTCCTTCCCAGTTCCTTCCTGGCCTATTCCAGTCCCTCTAACCTCCTTCCCAGTCTCTTTTCCAGTCCCTCCAACCTCCTTCCCAGTTCTTTCCTGGACTTTTCCAGGCTCTCCAACCTCCTTCCCAGTTCCTTCTAGACCTTTTCCAGTCCCTCCAACCTCCTTCCCAGTTTCTCCTGGGCTTTTCCAGTCCCTTAACCTCCTTCCCAGTTTCTCCTGACCTTTTCCAGTCCCTCCAACCTCCTTCCCAGTTTCTCCTGGGCTTTTCCAGTCCCTTAACCTCCTTCCCAGTTTCTCCTGACCTTTTCCAGTCCCTCCAACCTCCTTCCCAGTTTCTCCTGGGCTTTTCCAGTCCCTTAACCTCCTTCCCAGTTTCTCCTGACCTTTTCCAGTCCCTCCAACCTCCTTCCCAGTTTCTCCTGGGCTTTTCCAGTCCCTTAACCTCCTTCCCAGTTTCTCCTGACCTTTTCCAGTCCCTCCAACCTCCTTCCCAGTTTCTCCTGGGCTTTTCCAGTCCCTTAACCTCCTTCCCAGTTTCTCCTGACCTTTTCCAGTCCCTCCAACCTCCTTCCCAGTTTCTCCTGGGCTTTTCCAGTCCCTTAACCTCCTTCCCAGTTTCTCCTGACCTTTTCCAGTCCCTCCAACCTCCTTCCCAGTTTCTCCTGGGCTTTTCCAGTCCCTTAACCTCCTTCCCAGTTTCTCCTGACCTTTTCCAGTCCCTCCAACCTCCTTCCCAGTTTCTCCTGGGCTTTTCCAGTCCCTTAACCTCCTTCCCAGTTTCTCCTGACCTTTTCCAGTCCCTCCAACCTCCTTCCCAGTTTCTCCTGGGCTTTTCCAGTCCCTTAACCTCCTTCCCAGTTTCTCCTGACCTTTTCCAGTCCCTCCAACCTCCTTCCCAGTTTCTCCTGGGCTTTTCCAGTCCCTTAACCTCCTTCCCAGTTTCTCCTGACCTTTTCCAGTCCCTCCAACCTCCTTCCCAGTTTCTCCTGGGCTTTTCCAGTCCCTTAACCTCCTTCCCAGTTTCTCCTGACCTTTTCCAGTCCCTCCAACCTCCTTCCCAGTTTCTCCTGGGCTTTTCCAGTCCCTTAACCTCCTTCCCAGTTTCTCCTGACCTTTTCCAGTCCCTCCAACCTCCTTCCCAGTTTCTCCTGGGCTTTTCCAGTCCCTTAACCTCCTTCCCAGTTTCTCCTGACCTTTTCCAGTCCCTCCAACCTCCTTCCCAGTTTCTCCTGGGCTTTTCCAGTCCCTTAACCTCCTTCCCAGTTTCTCCTGACCTTTTCCAGTCCCTCCAACCTCCTTCCCAGTTTCTCCTGGGCTTTTCCAGTCCCTTAACCTCCTTCCCAGTTTCTCCTGACCTTTTCCAGTCCCTCCAACCTCCTTCCCAGTTTCTCCTGGGCTTTTCCAGTCCCTTAACCTCCTTCCCAGTTTCTCCTGACCTTTTCCAGTCCCTCCAACCTCCTTCCCAGTTTCTCCTGGGCTTTTCCAGTCCCTTAACCTCCTTCCCAGTTTCTCCTGACCTTTTCCAGTCCCTCCAACCTCCTTCCCAGTTTCTCCTGGGCTTTTCCAGTCCCTTAACCTCCTTCCCAGTTTCTCCTGACCTTTTCCAGTCCCTCCAACCTCCTTCCCAGTTTCTCCTGGGCTTTTCCAGTCCCTTAACCTCCTTCCCAGTTTCTCCTGACCTTTTCCAGTCCCTCCAACCTCCTTCCCAGTTTCTCCTGGGCTTTTCCAGTCCCTTAACCTCCTTCCCAGTTTCTCCTGACCTTTTCCAGTCCCTCCAACCTCCTTCCCAGTTTCTCCTGGGCTTTTCCAGTCCCTTAACCTCCTTCCCAGTTTCTCCTGACCTTTTCCAGTCCCTCCAACCTCCTTCCCAGTTTCTCCTGGGCTTTTCCAGTCCCTTAACCTCCTTCCCAGTTTCTCCTGACCTTTTCCAGTCCCTCCAACCTCCTTCCCAGTTTCTCCTGGGCTTTTCCAGTCCCTTAACCTCCTTCCCAGTTTCTCCTGACCTTTTCCAGTCCCTCCAACCTCCTTCCCAGTTTCTCCTGGGCTTTTCCAGTCCCTTAACCTCCTTCCCAGTTTCTCCTGACCTTTTCCAGTCCCTCCAACCTCCTTCCCAGTTTCTCCTGGGCTTTTCCAGTCCCTTAACCTCCTTCCCAGTTTCTCCTGACCTTTTCCAGTCCCTCCAACCTCCTTCCCAGTTTCTCCTGGGCTTTTCCAGTCCCTTAACCTCCTTCCCAGTTTCTCCTGACCTTTTCCAGTCCCTCCAACCTCCTTCCCAGTTTCTCCTGGGCTTTTCCAGTCCCTTAACCTCCTTCCCAGTTTCTCCTGACCTTTTCCAGTCCCTCCAACCTCCTTCCCAGTTTCTCCTGGGCTTTTCCAGTCCCTTAACCTCCTTCCCAGTTTCTCCTGACCTTTTCCAGTCCCTCCAACCTCCTTCCCAGTTTCTCCTGGGCTTTTCCAGTCCCTTAACCTCCTTCCCAGTTTCTCCTGACCTTTTCCAGTCCCTCCAACCTCCTTCCCAGTTTCTCCTGGGCTTTTCCAGTCCCTTAACCTCCTTCCCAGTTTCTCCTGACCTTTTCCAGTCCCTCCAACCTCCTTCCCAGTTTCTCCTGGGCTTTTCCAGTCCCTTAACCTCCTTCCCAGTTTCTCCTGACCTTTTCCAGTCCCTCCAACCTCCTTCCCAGTTTCTCCTGGGCTTTTCCAGTCCCTTAACCTCCTTCCCAGTTTCTCCTGACCTTTTCCAGTCCCTCCAACCTCCTTCCCAGTTTCTCCTGGGCTTTTCCAGTCCCTTAACCTCCTTCCCAGTTTCTCCTGACCTTTTCCAGTCCCTCCAACCTCCTTCCCAGTTTCTCCTGGGCTTTTCCAGTCCCTTAACCTCCTTCCCAGTTTCTCCTGACCTTTTCCAGTCCCTCCAACCTCCTTCCCAGTTTCTCCTGGGCTTTTCCAGTCCCTTAACCTCCTTCCCAGTTTCTCCTGACCTTTTCCAGTCCCTCCAACCTCCTTCCCAGTTTCTCCTGGGCTTTTCCAGTCCCTTAACCTCCTTCCCAGTTTCTCCTGACCTTTTCCAGTCCCTCCAACCTCCTTCCCAGTTTCTCCTGGGCTTTTCCAGTCCCTTAACCTCCTTCCCAGTTTCTCCTGACCTTTTCCAGTCCCTCCAACCTCCTTCCCAGTTTCTCCTGGGCTTTTCCAGTCCCTTAACCTCCTTCCCAGTTTCTCCTGACCTTTTCCAGTCCCTCCAACCTCCTTCCCAGTTTCTCCTGGGCTTTTCCAGTCCCTTAACCTCCTTCCCAGTTTCTCCTGACCTTTTCCAGTCCCTCCAACCTCCTTCCCAGTTTCTCCTGGGCTTTTCCAGTCCCTTAACCTCCTTCCCAGTTTCTCCTGACCTTTTCCAGTCCCTCCAACCTCTTCCCCACTTCCTTCTAGACCTTCTAACCCAAGTGCTTTTCCGCGATGAACGTTGAGTTTGCCCTTCCTTCTCCACCCTGTGGAAGCTTGGATGAAACCGGGGGTTCCTCCAGGACTTCCCAACCTTCTTACCTGTCCCTTTCCCACCAGGAAGTGGTTCTGCCATCTCCTGGAAGTGCCCTTTCCTTGGTTTCCCTCTTGGATGGGTATTTCCGCCTCACGGCCGATTCCAACCACTACTTGTGTCACGACGTGGCTCCACCACGACTCCTCATGAGCATCTTGAATGGAATCCATGGTCCCATGCAGTAGGTGGCACCTTCTACCTCACTTGGATGCTCCAGATCCTTGGGGGAAACTGGAGAAACCCCCTTTTTTTTCCTCCCTTCCCCCCCCAAATTCCAGGGAGGAATTTGTTGTTGCCAAGTTACGACGGGAAGAGGAAGAGGAAGAGGAAGAGGAAGGACTTTACATCATCCGTTGGAGTGTCTTGGATTTCAACAGGATGATCCTTTCTGTGGTGACCAAGGGCCACCAACAGGTAGGACAAGGTTCCCAAGGTGGGATTCCTGGGAATGGGGAAGTTCTGGGAGTTGGGACTCGTTCCGGGATGAGTTGGGGAGATGGTGCCAAGTTGGGTTGGGAGGGTTGGTTGGTTTGGGGGAGGATGGGAAGGGTATAAAGAGGATCTGGAGAGGCTGGATCCATGGGTTGAAGGACCTGGAGAGGTTGGATCCGTGGATTGAGGGACATGGATCCATGGGATGAGGGACCTGGATCCATGGGTTGAGAGACCTGGAGGGGTTGGATCCATGGGTTGAGGGACCTGGATCCATGAGTTGAGGGACCTGGATCCATGGGCTGAGAGACCTGGATCCATGGGCTGAGGGACCTGGATCCATGGGTTGAGGGACCTGGAGAGGTTGGATCCATGGGCTGAAGAACCTGCAGAGGTTGGATCCATGGACCTGGAGAGGTTGGATCCATGGACCTGGAGAGGTTGGATCCATGGGCTGAGGGAGCTGGAGAAGTTGGATCCAGGGGCTGAGGGACCTGGAGAGGTTGGATCCAGGGGCTGAGGGACCTGGAGAGGTTGGATCCAGGGGTTGAGAGACCTGGAGAGGTTGGATCCAGGGGCTGAGGGAGCTGGAGAGGTTGGATCCATGGGTTGAGGGACCTGGAGAGGTTGGATCCTTGGGTTGAGGGACCTGGGGAGGGTGGATCCTTGGGGTGGGGGGCCTGGG